TTTTGGGGTTTTAATTTGTCCATATGCGTTACATCTAACTTCGCTCATGCCTATAAAGGCTAATTTGTAATTCTCAACTATTTATGCAGATAAACTGGCCCAGGCGCAAATGAGAGTCTGCCTTCGGGTTTCGCATTTTCAGGCAGAGGACTTATTACGCCGGTCTTTGCTCGGCGCGTAGTCGGTAATTTGTGTTAACAGATTCGCCACGACAAGGCTTACCGGCCGATTTGTTGAGGGGAGGCTAGATGTTGGTATATTGTGCTGTCTATGTTTTACTTCCGAAATCACTCAACCGTTCATGTACCCATAGTACAATGAATTATGAAACTAATTGAAATTGTAATTGTAATTATAATTATATATTACAATGAATTATAAAATAAATTGTAAATTATTTTAAAGGGCCTGTGAATAATTTGTCAAGGCTTATTTACCAGATATCATGGTGCATAAGTTGAATTAAACAATTTTCAAGAATTGAATTAAAAAAAAAACGTTGTGTTAAATATTTGTTTTTTTAAATGTTTATATGTTTTATATATGTTTGAAAATAATATTGTCTTCTAAAAATTTTTAATTTAAATTTAGATAATAAAATTGTTTTTCACATTTTATTTTGTTGTAATCTATGTTATTATAGTATGTATCTAACCGCAAGTATAAATATGGATTTTAAGTTTTCTGCAAAGTACTTTTATTATTCTTTATTGTTATAGCTTTTTTTTTAATATAGCTTTTAATGTAATCTTCAAGTTCACAGAAAACTACATTTATTACAAATTAATTTAATTTTTATAATAAATAAATCAAAATTAAGTTATCAAAGTTGTTGTAGCAATGTAGTTATTTATTTTACTCTTAATTATATAAATAATAAAAATAATATTATTGAAAAAAGAAACTCCAGCGACACTAAATCAAAACTACTAAATATTATTACTTTATGTTTTTATATTTTTTAGGGGGTCAGATCCAGTGACGACGGGTGCCCTATCTGGAAGGGTGTGCGGCCCTTCTTTAATGTTGTTTTTACATGTACCAATTATATTAAAATATATGAGATCTTTTATTAATAATAACTATATTATATAAGGCAATAATATAGTCGCAATATTATATTAACAATTCATTAACAAAAGAACATATTAAACAAATTAAATTAATAATTTATATATAAATTTAATATTATATCAATATGGAAGAAACAAAACTTTTTACATAATTCTCGTAACATCAAACCAACTTTTTTCAAACAAAAGAGTTTTAACTCAGAACCATACATGTTTATCCAGTGATCAAACAAAATCAAACCCACTTGCAACGTACAAGTGTGCGCACAAGTACTCCGCACAGTAAGAACAGAAATTTGTGGGTGCTACTGTTAAAAGGGGAGAGACGAAATGTGATAGAAATGTATGCTGAGATGAGCTGCAAACTTCAGCCGCTCACGCAACCACTTTGGCAAATCATCATGTGGATTCGTATGCATGCAGTTGATATTCGAATACAACAAAAATTTACTCTCATACAATTCCCACTATATAAATCTCTATCTCTGATATTACGAATGGGAGCACACGCACATTATTTTGTTCATATGCAACGTATGAATGTGCTGCCAACTTCTTTGCACACAAAGGGGAGAGACGAAATAAAATAGAAATGTTCTGTGATTTGAGCTGCAAATATATGAGCACAACTAACAAGTATAGCAGCTAACAGAAGCAAATTGATTGAGTTTTCATAGACAATTATATTTAATTGTTTTTGCTAAAACTTTAAAAAAATATATATGGAAATGTAATAAATAATAATAATTCTTGATGTGAAGATACTTAATAAATTTATATTTCAATGTTATTTGACATTTTGGAAATTATGTTAGGGTGTTCACCGCACACCTCCGCACCTTAGAGCAATCGTCACTGGTCAGATCGGTTATTTAACACTTAATTTATATAAATATTTTTTTAAATAAAATAAAAAATTACACCATTTAAACTATGTTAAATATTTAGTTATATTTTAATTTTTATGGAAAATTATTTATATTACAGATATTTCGGTCCATCTTCAGTATACAATAAAAATTACTTTATGCTTTAATTTTAATTGGTTTTTTCACTAAAGCCTATAAACATAAAAAATTTTATATTCATATTAATTCAATTTAATAATAATTAATTTAATAATAATTAATTTAATAATTAATTTAATTTTAAATTTTTTAATTTAATTTTTAAAAATATTTATTATTTTATAATATCATTTTTAATGATTTTTTTGTTACACAGGTGAGACAAGGTGAGACAAATCAAGATCTCGGCCTCTATTTGATGTCAGTAATAAAAGTCAAATAATTAAATTACTATATAAACAAATTTAAATTGAAACAATACATTCATTTAAATTATTTAAGAATTAAACATAGAGCTTTATATGTTCATGTTTAATTATCGGTATCTTCAAACCATTGGTTTTGGTTTTTTTCTTTTTATATAGAAAATATTTAGTATATCTTAATATGTAGCCGTCTTTTCGATTCCTACCATTTTATTATGTCAAAGTAGAGCAGTCGTGCAGTCTTTCTATTATTATTTGAATGTGTATCTTTTTCTTTTCGTTTTTCTTTTCATCTTTTATTTTTCAATTTTCAATTTATATTTCACTTTTATGTAGTCGTAACGAATTTTTACCGTAAACAATAGGATTCCCTATGTATCCATGCGGCGGTTGATTGTTCACAGCGATCTATTGAGTTGTTACCTTTCGTTCTGTTGGACATTTTAATTGGTTTAGTTTGACTTTTGGGTTGATTGCGGACCACACACAGAGCCGCTTCCATATGTACTCTGTTCGTTGTGTTTACTGAGCATAGAAATTGGATATTAATCTAAGCTTTATGTGTGCAGTTGTACACACTTTCAGATACAATTCATTTGAAGTATGCATTTTTGTTGAGATTTTTATGCGTAGGATTTGTATACGAAGTTTAAAACTTCGAATATGTTAAAATATCGACATATAATTAGTTAGTTTTCCTTTTTTTTAAACTACGTAATACAAATATTATTAGTATATTATTTTAATAAAAAATAAATAAACAATTTATGTAATAAAAAAAATTAATAAATAATATAATGCAGTGACGATTGCTCTAAGGTGCGGAGGTGTGCGGTGAACACCCTAACATAATTTCCAAAATGTCAAATAACATTGAAATATAAATTTATTAAGTATCTTCACATCAAGAATTATTATTATTTATTACATTTCTATATATATTTTTTTAAAGTTTTAGCAAAAACAATTAAATATAATTGTCTATGAAAACTCAATCAATTTGCTTCTGTTAGCTGCTATACTTGTTAGTTGTGCTCATATATTTGCAGTTCAAATCACAGAACATTTCTATTTTATTTCGTCTCTCCCCTTTGTGTGCAAAGAAGTTGGCAGCACATTCATACGTTGCATATGAACAAAATAATGTGCGTGTGCTCCCATTCGTAATATCAGAGATAGAGATTTATATAGTGGGAATTGTATGAGAGTAAATTTTTGTTGTATTCGAATATCAACTGCATGCATACGAATCCAACATAATGATTTGCCAAAGTGGTTGCGTGAGCGGCTGAAGTTTGCAGCTCATCTCAGCATACATTTCTATCACATTTCGTCTCTCCCCTTTTAATAGTAGCACCCACGAATTTCTGTTCTTACTGTGCGGAGTACTTGTGCGCACAATTGTACGTTGCAAGTGGGTTTGATTTTGTTTGATCACTGGAT